ATGAGTACAAAATAACGTGCACAGTTAATTTTGCTCACATAGACAAACATTAGAGACGCAATATTAAATAATATTACAAAAAAATTGTAATTTCGTTTGTAACATAGGACGTTTAAGTTCCCATTTATATAATACTTATAAGCGAACAATATTATACTAAAATAAACAACGTAAATACGTGAGTAAATATAATAATAATATTACAATGTTTTATTGTATCAAACACATTTAAGCCAGATATTGCTTAAGACAAATTTAGACACTGGTTATCTATTTTATATGTTCAATCATGAACACATTAAGCATTTATTAACTTCATAAAAAAAATTGCACATCCTTTAAACACCAATCAATAACTTAACCAAAATTCAGTTAAATTTAACTTAATAAGTATATTTTCTATTTGTGTTTGCTTTAAAACGAATTTAGTTTCAAAGGAACAAAACTATTTGGAACTCCAACCCTACAATACATTTTATATGTTTTATAATAAGTTTTTAACTGTAACCAATTCAACAAACAACACTGGTCATAAAATCGTCTATTACATATGATTACAATATTGTTAAACTTAGGATAGCCTTACACAGACTTCTAGTGATCAACGATGGCCAAACGGACCACTGTTTGCAGTTTCGAAAAACCAAACCAGCTATAACATTTGAAGCAGTCCGTGTATGGCAAGGTTTAGACGACCTGCGTCAATATTTAACATGTATAAACTCTTGCATAAACAAAAAGTTATGAACTAAATATGTTTGTAATTGCTGCTACTAAATGCAGTGTCTACAGTCACACACAAAAGCTATTATGTGACAAAAAATATTAATATATTTGGATGAACAAACAAAGTTTTTAACGCGACTGTACGCCATTAAAGTTCAAATACTTCTTGTAGAAGGTTGGTACAAAGCTACAAAAGATGATAAACAAGTTAGATCCAAAAAATTACTAACAATTAAAAATATTGCGTAAATTAAAAAACTGGAAGAGACAACTGATTTAAAACAATTATTTTAAGATAAATAAAATTGGTATAAACTGATATAAAAACGGCTAAACACTCACGTTTAATTGTCCGCCGGGAGCCGCCACCGGATGAATAAACGTCAGTGTTTAGCCGTTTTTATATCAGTTTATTATATTGTCTCACGAAAGTTTGAATAAAATTGGTATATGATAATCACAAATAAAGCAAAATACATTAGAATCCGTTTATAACAACACCGCTTATATTGTCCAACCGCTTACAGCTTTTTAATAAACTCTTACCGGTTATAGTGACCGACATCAATCGTGACGCTTTCGGCAGTATTAGGTTACCGCAGTTTTTTTTCCTTTGTAGTCATTATAAACAGAATCCACTGTATTTCAAATATTAAATGAACAGTTTAAAATTAGTATACGAATTATAAAAAAACATGTTTCAAAACTCATCGTCATTAAAATGGAAGTTGACTGATATCCAAAAAAATCTATTCAAAACCATTAATATTTTTTTAATAATGTCAAAAGTAATATTTTTGTGGCTTTGGCACAAATAACAGACTATAAAAAAAAACTATTTCAAACGAATCAACAAAAACTATTACAAAGTTTGTGCAATACGTAACAATCAAATATTTTAGTTGATTGGAGTAAAGTTACCATTTTCAATTAGCATCATGTACAATCACAGAAAAAAATGTTAAAAATATTTTTTTCAAAAATTGCACATTTTTATAGCAATTATGTTATCGATTGTACACATTTCAAAGCTTCATAACATCAAAATAAAATATATTAGGGCTGTTTAAATTATGATTTAACAAATACTTAAATATATTTTGTTAATAAGTTACGTAAATAAATACGTATAGATTAGAGAGCGGTAAACAAAAAGACAATAAAAAAAAATTAATTCGTGAATAATAGATATTGGATTTTATATTTTGACCCACATAAATCACTAATAAAACATAAATCAGATTATTCTGAGTGACATATTATGAATACTTTGCCGTAAAAGTAGTTTCGTTTCTCAATTTTGAACTGTCTTACTTATATTAAACAAGTAATATAGGTTATATTAAAGTCAATTCCTACTTAGGTCAACGAAAAAAAAATAGTTACTTTTATTGTTTAAAAAACAAAATTATAATCATCAAAATTAAAAAAAAACCTCGAATGGATAATTAAAAAATAATATTTAGAGTGAACTAAAAGGAGTAATTGCAAAATATGACCAATAAGACCGATATTAAAGGTTGACCCTACCATAGACGACATATTTATACTTTTTATATATTTATTTAAATATTATTATACACGAACAACTACATAAAGCATTACATTTTGTGCTTGATCCACCATCCGTCCCATCCCTTAACATAGCAACATCTAGACAACTTTAGTTTTTAAACTCCAAAAAAACCACGCCATTTCCAAAAACTCCCACATAACAAAAGGCGGACAACCAAACACACCTTAGAAACACATAAAAATCGGGCAATTCATTTTAAAACGCTATAAAAATTATTCTTACAACATAAATAGTTTATCTAAAACTTTGGTTATTAAACTAGTAAAAACTAAAACAGACGGACAAAAAGATTCGTGTGATCGACAGAGCGAGACAGAAAATACTTTTGTGTGCGTGTTTACTATTATATACAAAATATATCTAAATAAATATATTGACAATTTAAAACATTAAAAAGCAAAAAAAAACATTAAAAATGCCAAAACAATATAATAGCAAACAATTTTGATTGTGATTATACAACAAATTAAAAATTATTCACAACATTATTTGTACTCAGAGTACTCTAATAAAGCGACATAAAAAAACAAAATAAAAATTAAATTGCAAAAATTATTAAATGTGATGTTATTAACGTAATTTTATTATCATCTGACAGCTGTCAAAATAATTTCCTAGAACTCCCGTTGCGCGGTAAAGTTGACAGCTGTCAAAACGACACACAGATTAAACAGATTCATCAAATGAACGCAAGCGTGGAACAAAACTTAGTGAGTATTAAGACACGAAATGCTTAGCAATAATAAATACTTATTTTATCGTACAACGCAAGACTAGAAGCGGGGATAAAAACTAGGAACCAACTAACTAATTAGTGATATAAACACTATTAACGTGAGTTTCCATAGCCAAAAACACGTACATTTTTTTTTTTATAGAGACAAAGGGTGATGTTATATCTTTGTACGTGTTTTTTGTAACTGGCAACCCTTATCAACTTAACACATCATTCCAATAATATATTAAAGCACCTTATCATCATAAAATCAACGACAAAAAGCGGAATTTAAATAGGAATACGATTTACAACACCGTTCAAACAAATATAATCTATGGTACACTGTATTGAAAATTTCATGTAAAATTTCATATAAACTCAACATGGATAATATAACAATTATATCTATATTAAATTTTGACACTAGCGAGATGTTATTAAGAGATTAACAAAACCACAGACAAAAAAAAACAGATCCACTTTTAAAGATTATAAATTTGCACTATCAGACATACCCTAACTGGCCGATTGTAAGCGATAAACTCTTCAAACTGATTCTATTTATAATCTAACAGATCTTTATTTCATAAAATCGTAAGACGAAAATCAATATTGGTCTTGAATTCTACTAATATTTACGGGGCACGATAATATTTAACTACGACTTTCACGGCTACGATATCGTATATCCTATTCCTATACTACAAAACTATTGAAGTAACCTGAAACCATACCGTAAAGTACTTTCAAATCCCCTTACTCCCTCCTTATAGGGGTATAAACCCTCCCCTTTTTACCAAACACGCGATGGCACGCACACGAATTATAATAACACTACTAACGAATGGGGTTTACTTATTCCGCCCACCGTTCCATTAAACGTTGTTGCCAGCTTATTCACAAGATTGCCATATGAAAAAAATAAACGGCAAACTTTAAACTGGCAGCACACGTCACCCAACAACCCAGCATCCATCATGGATCTGTTACATCCTTTTTTATATTTACAACAATAATTGCTCTAACCTTTTCAAATTTAAATATTATAAGTATCTCAAGGGAAAATATCAAGAAGCTTGATCTCGATTTTTTTTTGTTAGTATTTTTTTTTCGTTTTTCTTATTTTAATCCGCGTGAAAGTGAACTCTTTAGCCCCCCAAACATACATATACTCTTGCGTTTATTTATACTAAATTCATTATTTATTCCTTCAACATATCATATATATTTTTTTTAATATTTGTGTGTTGACTCTCATATTGTAAATGTATAAAAGCGTGTATCACAAGTCTGGTACATTTTGCTGGCTAGTATTTCTCGTGGACAGAATCTCATAAGAAATCAAAGTTATAGTCATTTCGTTAGTTATTTTTGGCCAAATTATTTATAATCTGTAACGAGGTAGTGCCGCTGTGTTCGTGAACTGTCACTTTTTAACATCTTTCAATTGAGACGAAGAAAATTTTTTCATTCAATTAAATGTATTCAAAGTTTTTATACAATATTATCGGTCTTATTTTATGGGTTTTTTAGTATAAAAGTTGAATGAAAAAGGCATAGCTTGATATATGGTCATATTTAAAGAATTACAAGTCGCTTATTTCGACAAAAAGCAATAAAAAACAAGGCACAGAATCTTTCAACATGCATTTATGTAACGTTATTTTTTTATATAACTTAACTCTGGATTCTACAAGGTTTGTATGACCATGTCTGTAAACATATGCCTTTACCATTTCGAACATTTAAAAAGATAACATGACAGATGTCAGTGACGTCAGTTTGACAGATGTCAAAGAGCAAGTTCACGAGCAGAGCGCATTCGAATTAAATTTCGCTTGAGGTAGGTCGCGTTTTATTCAGCAAACGTGTTATGGAGACTTTCTATTATGAATAGCTAAGATATAACCAGACTGCTCTGCCTACATCTAAATGGCTGTCGAAACGGTATAGGTGGATTTTTTTAATGTTATTAATCGTAATGACACTTCGGTCTAGCCCTAATCCGAAGCAGTGACACTAATGACATTCGAGCCTACCCTAATCTAAACACTAGAGAATGATACAAGATCATTATATGTTAAAAAATAAACAGACAAAAAAATAATACTTCGATCGACATGGCGTCGCGAATAAAAAAAAGACCGCTCGTACGGTTATCTCGTCATGACTAGACAGTTGTTGGCATTGCACTTAAAATAAAAATATAATATAATATAAACCTCAGTCGACGGAGCGACAGCGGGACCGCAAAGTATGGCACTGACGGGGCCGACGATGACGTCACAAGGGCGATCACTTCCGATGACGTCATTCCCAAAGTTCGAGCGATTAGTGAGGGCGGCGTGACACATGCGAACGCTGATGACGTCACTGGTGCGATGGCAAGCGGTGACGTCACAGGTGCGGTGACCGTGGCCGGCGCGCCGCGCCCGACGCGTTCAGGCGACCGGCGTCTTGTCGTAAGCGGGCTGCGGGTTGTAGTCCTTGTTGATGAACGAAAATCCTCTGAACTCCTCCTGCAAAGTAAAGTAGACAAAATTACATTAATATACAATAGTCAATTAATTCCTTTTTTATTTTTATCGAATTGTTGCCGTGGATCTGAACCGGGACCTAATATAGGTCCAGTTTGGTCTAGGTCTCGGTGCACTGACCTGGTTGATGGCGCGCACCACATCGGCTGGCACTGGCGTGAGCACCGGCTCCTCTTTGGTAAACTCTGCGTCGAAGTTAGCCGCTTCGCGCTTGCTCTTCTGTAACACACAATAAATTCACATTATTACTGTCAATATAGCTCTTCTAACGGCAAGTACTGACCGATAGGGGGCGCTGACATTTTTTTAGGATTTACTGCATAAAGGATAATTATTCAATTTGAAGTTTATTGAAGTTAAAACTAAGTCAGATTAATTAAATAAAAATCCTGACTCAATCTTAAATCAAATTTACATCAGTCAACATACAAATATACCAACCAAAAATAATACCTTCTTTTCAGATAGAAACAAGGGTGTTGTCAAGGTAAATATGGGGTGGAGGGATAGTACGTACGACTTTAGGTCTGAAGGGCGGGCGCAGGCGGCGCTGCGCAAGCGCATCCCAGTCCATATCGCGGAAGAATGCGTGCGCGCGGATACCCGCAGCACCACCGGCCACACCCAGTCGACGTGCGGGACTCTTCGTCATGAAACCTACGGATACAAATAGAAAAAAAAATAAACAAGATAATTGTAGTTCTGATTTTGTCTACCTTTAATGCACAGAACACAATATGTCACTAGAATGGATATTTCTTTCCCTTCTATACAACATCAAACCTACTTTATAATAAGAAAAGGATCGGAAAAAAAGGAGGGGTAATCCGAACTTCGGTTTTTTTCCAGTCTGTATTCTGTCTAGTCGTGATATTGTAGTTTATTTCATATCTACCTGTATCCCGCGACTCGGTCCGCGCAAAAGTAAAAAAGAAAATAAAAAAGCCTATGTGTTCTTGATTATGTTCTGCATGTATGCCAAAGTACAGCGACATCCATGATTCCGTTTTGATACCTTAAAACAAACATCCATCCATCCCTACGTCCAAACAAATTTTATGATATTTTTTCGACATTGGAAACCTTTAAAAAACAAACCTTTAAGTATAGAGACAGCATCTTTAGACAACCAGACAGGGTACAACACGTCATCATGCAGGATGCTCTCGAAGAGGTCATCCTCGTTGTCCGCCTCAAATGGAGGCTGACCAGCCAGCATCTCGTACAGCAGCACGCCCAGCGCCCACCAGTCCACTGATGGACCGTACTCCAATTCTTGAAGGATCTACAAGAAAATCATAATTTTTTATCTACATAACTATACCCAGATATCCCTTGGCAACACAAACACATACATGGCAAATTTTGTTCACTTATTCGTTGTTTTTTCTTACTGTTTCATTGTACTTAATAAAACATTCCTCCGTTGCGAAACTGAGCAAGGCCTCTATTACTTCATGCCAAACAAGAACACGCTATACACTTCAACAGTACTATTTGATAATTTTACAAAATACCTCTATAATAATATTAGAATTGCAAACATTATCAAGCGCTACGTATTATTTGTCGTATGAATAAAAAAAACAAAATGTGGTGTTTGTTTACCTCAGGCGCTATGTAATCTGGAGTTCCACAGAATGTAGTTGTAGTTGCACCATCTGAAATGAGAACAAATAAAAGTTAACTATGGTTATTGTTTTTTTTTACGTTTTATAAGCCAGCACTCGACCATGATCCCACGTGGTGTTAGTGGAGATGATTCACTTTATGTTATTTAAAGGTCGACTGAACATAATGTAGCTATCGCTTCCTACGATTACAAAAAAAAAACTCTTTTTCACGTACAAAAAACCATATACCAACCTATAATGCCTTCTTTGCACATGCCGAAGTCTGCGAGCTTGCAGTGACCCTCGCTATCAAGCAGGATATTGTCCAGTTTGAGGTCGCGGTAGATGACGCCGTGCGAGTGCAGGAACTGCAGCGCAAGTGTCACCTCCGCCGCGTAGAATCTGATAAAAACGAAGATCATTTTCAAATTAAAAAAATACTATCCAACAATACCAAAGAGTATGTACATTCAGAGAAATCAGACAGAAAAAGCTATGAGCGACAAGAGTACTTATAAATTGTAAAGCGTTAATTAACTATCAGGGAGTATGGGAGTTAAAAACTAACTACAAAACTAACTTGTCATAATCCATGAAATATTTATTAATAAAGGCAGATGAAAAGTCACAAATGAAAAGGCACAAATATCTCTTAAAATGTCAAACTCACCTAGCCCTCGGCTCATCAAACTTCCTAGCCCGTTGTATCTGGAACATTAGATCACCTCCATCCACGTACTCCATGACGAAGAACAACCGCTCCCGTGTCTGGAAGGCGCAGTGCAGCGCCGTGAGGAACGGATGACGAGCTGCCAGCGCCAGCACGCGCCGCTCAGTCAGTGTACACTCCACATCATCATCTTGGATTATCGCATCTTTCTTTAAGACTTTCACAGCATATACCTGGGGAAATATATTTGCTATGTAGAAGAATTTATCTGAGTTAAAGTTGTTTTTAAGATACAGTCAGTCAGAATTAAGACACGTCAGCTTACATAGACAATTATATATAACTAGCTGTCGCCCGCGATTCCATCGGTGCGGAATAAAAAAAAAAAAAGATTAATGGCTTATGTGTTCTTCCAGACAGCCGTTCTGGAGATAATTTCTAACAAACATCAATCAACCCATCCAAACATTCGCGAATATAATATTAGTAAGATGTAAGATTTTTTAATAGCATTTCTTATCGAATTTATAATTAAAATAATAATCTTGAATGTAACAAAAAGACTCACTTCATCCGTGCCCTTTTTCTCAGCGAGCATAACCTTGCCAAAGGATCCTTTGCCCAGCACCTTAATGAAGTGAAAGTCCTCGAGGGATACCTTCCCGTGCATGCCCTCAGCACCGTCACCATCACCACCTAGGATTCATCACCACACACGAGTTACTACCTCAACACCATCACTTTTATATGGAACTTGGTCCTTCGAGCCGGATATAACATCTGTTAGATATGCATTTATGAAATTAGTACATTATTTTTGTTATTATGTACCAGGTTTAATGTATAATTAACTATCAATTAGTGATTTTACTGATATTTATATCTAAAATCTATTAAAATCTATTTTTCAAATAAATTAATACCTCGCAATATTCAAAGAAAACTTTTTACTTGAATAAACTATTATCAAATCTACTTTATTACCTAAATACTTCTAACTTATATAAAAATCATGTATTACTCTTTGAGCCGATTAGCCTACAGATCAATCGGCCCAGAATAATCAAAACAAATTACTTAGACAAAGTTCCATTACATTCAACAACAAGCCCCACCACCATTATAACGAATATCATTTGGAACCTTCGTAAAACGTGAATATCTCTTCAAGATCATCCCAATGCGAGCGCCATGACGTATCATTATCTTGTATGACACAGTTATCCAATAGATTTGTGTTATCCGTGCCTGTACGTCACAACACATACAAATAAACATACAAATACATTCAAAAGGTTGACCGTCAAAGGACATAGTATATTTTAGCAACACTAGCTGTCGCTTGCGACTTCGTCTACGCGGAATATAAAAAAAACTTAATTAGTAGCCTATGTTCTTCCAGACTATGTTCAACATCTGCTAACAAACATCCATACATCCAAACATTAGCATTTATATAAGTAAGATAGTATAAGAATATTTATTGATTTATCATACATCTATATCTATACTAATATTGTACAGAATAAAGATTTTTTTGTATGTAACTAAAAAACTCAAAAACTACCAAACCAATTTCAAAAAAAATTCTCTCTTAAGAGACCTACATTACCACTGAGTGACATAGGCTATATTAATTACTATATTTTATTTAAATTCAAGGAAAAATTTAGCATTTAATAAACATTTCAGTCGATCAAAGTACTAAACAAATTAAGATTCAAATTCATAACAGCTGTTGTTCATCTCTTGTATAATTTTTGTTTGAACTGACTAATTCTATTAATAATTTATTGACGGTCAACCCAAAGCAAACAAAAACAAGCAATTCATCAGGCGTTAGCAAACAAAATAAAACCTTGGTATGTGCCAAATATATCCTGCAGCTCTGCCCAGTGTGGACCCCATGTTACCGGGTGCTGGTGACCTAATATCATTTAAACACATGCAGTAAATAACAGAAAATAAATAAAAGCATACATTGATAAAAAAAACTACACACTTTCCGAAAGGATGGGAAGTTGAAATATATTGTCCGGATGAAAGAATGCATGGGAAGGGAAAATATTCTCTTTCTATGCATCCTGCTATCAATTAAATGTAGGCAACGCATATGCGTATGTCTATGGGCAACAGTCACTTCGCTATTACAAAGATTTCAGGTGGCCGTCCTCTCATTTGACACTTTATGATATAAAAAAATAAATTGTAAAAAACAAACAATTCTTAGATTGATTAGTCACATCAAAAACGTTTCCATTGCTATGAAAGAGTGACAAAAAAAGGTATTGACATCTTACTTAGGAATGTCTCACAATGTCCTAATAAAATGCTGGATAAGTAACAAATAATTAATCATGTACATAAAAGTTCCTGTCAAAATTTGCATTATACAACTTATTTGAAGATTGTATAAACATCAACAAGGACTTTATTGGAAAAATAATTTTCAAGTAATTCATTGAGAATTAACTGTGAGTTTCTGACACCTAAATCTCTGCATAAAACATATCGTCATCGCTGTCTTTATCTTTAACAGCACAGAGATAAAAATATATCTTAAACTAAGATATTCTACTCAGAAACCCACGGTGAAAAAATATCTTACTAAAATGTCAAACCATCATTTTAATATGTGAAAGTAATTCATACTATTACTAAACATATACTAATAACAAAACATGCAAAATAATACTTATTCATATGATTTATAAATAATAAAAAATAAACCTTTATCATCATGCTTGTCGTTTGGATCTTTGCTATCGGAATCACCAGAAGAAGCCAGCTCCGGTGGACCTTCCAGCAAAGCTGTGTTCAGATACTGAAAATTAAATATTAACGATTAATATCATTATATTATTTCTTCAGGCGATGACAAACATTGAATACAATGTCTTTGTTCAAGTTCTTCTTTTTAAATTTCGACTTTTCTAGAACTAAGACCTTGTTAATAAATTATATAAATCAACTGATTTTTATATATATAAACAATCATCTTCTGCTCACTATACATTCACACTGAAGGGCTCCGAGCATACCCTATGTTAGGAGTGACTAGTCTATGGCCTAGGCCTAATGCCTATGGTCAACACTGACCCAGTGCGGGTTGACTTCACACATATCAAACAATGAATTTATTTGAAGCGCCAATACCTTAATGGTAAAAGGTAAGGACTTCTGATCACGAGGTCGGGGGTTCGGATCCCGTCATTCGACTATTGTCGCAAACCATATCTTAGCACAAGCTTGGAGCTTAGATGAAATGATACAAGAAGTATTAGTCAAATTTACACAAAATTTGCTAATATTTTACTAAAAAAAATATATAGAATTTAGTGTTGCAGATACAAAAGATACAAAAAAATTAAAAAGAAAAGGATAAGTAAAAATGGTTCTGGATCGAATTAAAGGGATCGTTAGTAATATTAAGCACGCTTTGCAATACAATACCTTGGAAGGTCTGGGACGTGGGTTCTTGTCAGGCGAGATGCCCATTTCATTGAGGATCTCCGCCATCTGCTTTGTGTTGATGCCACAGTTATTGGCCACATTCTTCTGACAGCGCTTGTGCACATTCATCGAGCATACTGACATATAAATAAAACAGTTAAATTAAATAATTATAGGCCTAATTTAGTCCTCTTTCCCTTCCCATACTTTTCTTCATAAGGAAAGGATGGGAAGTGGAAGTGGACTTTCCGGATGAGAGGATGCATGGGAAGGGAAGATATTTTCTTAATGTGCATTCTCAGTCGATTAAAGGTAGGCAACGCATATTCGATTGTGTATGTCTATGAGCAACAGTCACTTCGCTATTTCAGCAATTTCAGGTGGCCGCTCGCTCGTTTGCCACCTTAAGATATAAAAAAAAATCGCATTTATAATATTAGTAAGATAAATATGTATATTCTTACCTTCACATTGCAATCCCTGCTTGATAAGTCCGTACAGCAAAGATCCACAATGATCACAGAACGTGAACCGTTTGTATGAATGTACCACAAACCGATGTGGTACATTCACATTGAAGCGCTGACCACTGGATACTGTTACTCCGCTTTGTTGCTGATGGAAATAAAATATATATTTTTTTTACGTTTAAATAGCCAGTGCTTGACCACGATCCCACCTGGTGTTAGTGGAGATTTGGTCAAAAGATGGTACGCGGTAGCTTAGTAAGTGCCTATTCACTCTACAAGAATACTATATACTTCTTCTATATTACTTTTAAATAAATAAATAGGGATTATGGATTCTTATATCCTAGCTAATATTAGCTATAATATATAAATGGATGTATATACATCTATTATTTTTTTTTTGTAGGAGTAGAAGGTATGTCACGATCGCACCAAAGGGAAGTCTATGGACTCTGCCTACCCCTTTGAGTTACGGGAGTGATTATGTTGTACAATTTTCTATATTACCATGGATTTCAAGTACTAAAATAATTAAAATGAAAATTAACTTTTTATGTTTTTTTTTTTGTCATAATTTTGGGAACTTTTTCAAGAGTTTTTTTGAATTTTATTTTATAATATCAATAACTCACCTCCTCCTTCATACCGGGACACTTTGTGACTACAGATGAGTGACATCGCTTATGCACTACACAAGTACACACTGAAAAAAAAATGAACAGTCAAATTTTAATTTATTCTAATTTTGTCAATCTTTTTACTATATTTTTTTCTTGAAAATGATTTAAAAATACTATCAGCTATATTATTTTTATTGCAAAATATATTTTAATTTAAAATTCAAATTTTAAATAAGATTTTCTTACCTTGACATTGATAACCTTGTTTGCCGAGACCCCTGGAAAATAATAACTATTATAGCAACATATAAAATACTTAGTAATTTCATTATATACTGTGATATGTATATAATGAACTATATTTTTCCCGCGACTTCGTCCGCGCGGAATCAAAAAAAGATATTAAGTATTTGATGCATTCTTCCAGACTATGTTACTTCTTTAAGATCTAAATAAGATTAATTCAATAAACCTAAAAGAGTAAAAGTAGTAATATAGTAAAAGGGGAAGAAGAACTAAGAAATAAAAAAGACACAAAGTTGAAAGGTGTAAAATGATAAAGTTACCGGCTTAACTTACTAGTAGATAAGTTTAAAGTTATAAAAAAAAACAGAAAACATTTGCTCTTACCAGATAAACTCGCGACAATGGCTACAAAAAGTCGGCTGACGAAGGAATGTCGCCATGAACTTGTGTCCGTTGACTTGATGTACGCGGCGACGCAGCGCACCCCTTCGCCGCGCGAACCCAGCACCCTCTTTGAACTCGCGCCCCCGATTCGAACGACCCTCTGACCCACCACCCCCTATAAATATAACACAAACATATCAACAATACTATTCACGCTGAAGCGTGTTCACATGAATGTCAAATCAATGTACCTTATGAAATTGACATAGCAATTAATCACTCCTGATCATTGCTTTTGCAAAACTAACAGGAGTTAATTTTAAAAAATTAAATAGGTTATAGGGAAAAACATACTCAAAAGTTACCACACTTTGAAATAAACAATTTTACCTCGACAATGTCACCAATACATCACTTAACATCAGGTCATCAGCATGGTCAAGCGCTAGCTTATTCAACATAATAAAAAAAATTAGCCCGCTGAGTCTAGAGATATGGAACATGGACAATGCATGTAATCCCACACTGAATTCTGTCAAGCTGTTTATGTTAAAGAAGGTTACATTGGTACAACAATGTGTCATACATTGTACACGAAAAAAAAAGTATAACTAACCTTGAGAATTCCATTTCAGATCTATTTTCAGATGCAATTTTCCCTGTGGTTCTAAATCCACCTGGAAAACATAGGCTCAATTAATGTTTAAATAAGTTGATACTTAGAAATATCAATGAAATTTGATTTGTAATTAAATCAAGATAAGCAAGAATCCAAGGGCCCATAATATATTTCTCGCTTACTAGACCTTTATAACCCGAAATTCTCTCTTATTGACTTTGTCCACTGACTGATGTCCGGGACTGAACACTGACGCTTGTTTATAGAAATATCTCGCTTATCCAGGCTTGTGTGTAATTTATTTTATAATATAGTCAAGTGATATTACACTACAAGTACATGGTACTAATCTTGAAGCAGATAATGACTGACTAATGAAACTATTATTGTGGAATTATACTAAGACATCTTATACATTAAAAAATCTATCTTTTTTTTATAACAGAAGGGGGGCAAACAAGCAGCGGGAACACCAATGTGTTCAACAACGCCAATGGACATCAGCAATGCCAGAGGAACCGCAGATGCATTGACCTTTGAGATAGTGAAGAACATGAATATCACTTTATTCATCAATACTGTTCAATATTATAATTTTTCTGATATTGATATCAAAGTGACAAAGAAAACAGTTCCTTCCTATTTTAATGGCAACTCGAGTTGACAAGTTTAATTTTTACACGCAAACGATAAAGAATATTAAGGAAAACCCATAATTTTTCCCGACAATTTAATTATAGATTGATGTAATTTCTGACCTAGTTTATTCATATTTTAACAGAATTAGCAACAATATAAATGAGTTTAAAATTATAAAAGGAAAATGTAACAAATATTTCAAATATCCTGAAAATGAGTCACAGGTGTACAAACAGGATGTCAGTTTGGACACACAGGGTAATGTGTAATGTCAGAGATATGTATAAATACACATATCTTAGAGATGTATCATATAATGACCTAATTTAAAAAGTAACAATGACATGAACACATTCATTGACAGTGAGTTTCTGAAACTAAAATCAACATTAAAAACATATCTATATATATCAAGATCTCTTTGACAAAACAGAGATAATATGAGAGACAGGGATATGTTTTGTACAGTGATTTTGGTATCAAAAATCCACTGTAAGTCACTATTTTTAAATGTGTATGATATTTATTAAAAAAAAATTAATACTCATACAATTTTTAACTACAGAGGTTTCTAAGAATTTTTGCCAATCAAAGTTTTGAAACATAACATTACATATAATGACATCTGACAAAATTATCTTCACTGGGTTCTTTTAAAAGTATTTTGACACTGAATTTTGTTTATATATTTGTCTATAAACAAATATTTATCACTCACAATCTTAAAATATCAGTAGTTGTAATTTTATCTTATCTGTAACTATCTTAATAGATAACATATAAGTTTATATTATGTAAACAAAAATATTTGATATATAGCTTGAGACATAGTAAGTGCAATTAATAAATTCGCTTCATTAAAATAAGTGATTAATATATGAAAGGAAAATAAATGAGACTTACCCAAAAATCCGTGGCCTCTTTATCTCTATGCATCAGATCTTCAAAAGGAATAGTGCAGTTTGCAACAAAGTCATCTGGAGGTATTGCAGCATCATGAAACACTGTGATACCCAAACTAAAAACAATAAACAAGTGTAAATTCTCTAAAACATATTCGCGCGATCTTATTAGAATATATATCTAAGCATACCTAGTTACATTGTGAACTTCATGTATAAATGTTTCGTTCCAAACTGGGTCAAAAGTTTTTGGTTTCGTGCTTGAACGGTCTAGATGGTGCTCGTCGGCGTCGATCGAGACGTACGGGTCTATCGGCTGATCGTCTGCGAAGATATTATGTATTTACAAATAATACCAACACCCATTTTGGTAAACATGTTACGCCTTATTCATACGCAAAAAAAACTTGTCACATTAGCGGAGCAAAATTGTTTTTATTCTAATAGGTGTTATTTGGTGTTTCAGGTTTAGATTATATTTATGCATGGACTAACCAGGTTTCCCGAAGGTCATGTTGTGCCGTTTCTGAAAGTCGGTCGGTCGGAGGCCCGTCGCCTCGCACACCTTTACACGCACCGTTCCGCTGAACATGGTGCTACCGACCAAAGAGCCGTATCACCAAGACCGCGCCGCCACACGATCACTTCCACACTATAAACCCACTTAAAATCATTGAAGGTGCTTCATAATTGAATTGAAATAGAAATAAAGTTGACACTGATGAGATCGGCCATGGATGGATGGATATCTTCTCTATGGTTTTTAATGAATTCCCATTCGACTCTTCTACTCGATTGGGGAAAAAGGTATTTCTTTTAGTTTTTTAATCTTGTTACGTTCTGACTATTTTTTGAAAATGTTTTAATGAGTTATTTAAAAAAGTTTAACTAATACTGTAGCAATGAAAGATATAAGAAGTTTCAAAATATTTGTACAACCAAGTAATTTTTATTAGTATCAGTAATTTGATATTATTGTTTCTAATCACTAATAGTACAAATATTAAGAATTCATTTAAAATGCAGTTGTAGCTGACTTTAAATTAAATCAATAAAATTTACGATTAAAAGAGATCTTAAAATACTATTTACAAGTTTTTTCTGATTTAGAAAAACATGAATACTCTGTAATTGAAGTGCGGTATCTGTGCATTTTAGTCATATTGACACCAATGTCAAGTCAATCAGAATTTGTCAATTGTCATTAATCAGAAAAAATAACAATTTTGTTTAAGGATTCGTCAAAACATGGTTCATAAATAAAATAGATATTTTGTTATTGTCGATTACATAAAATTCGTAATATGGGCTTCTTGACGATTTTGAAGAAACTGCGACAGAAGGAAAAAGAAATGAGGATCCTAATGTTGTATCCTTTTCAAAAAAATTAAAAACTTTGTCATGTGTGTGACGCATTTTCAAAAAATTTATAGGTACCTTAATAATTTGGTGTATATTAATCGGTATGTTACTAAAATGGTATATTTTATTACTTGGTTCAGATTATAGGTGGAAATGAATCTACCCAAGTTGAGTTGCAAATTCTCAGTGTACTTAAGTTTTAAGAAACTTCTTATTCTTTCTTAACAATTAAATCAGAGGTTTAGATAATGCTGGCAAGACAACAATACTAAAGAGGTTTAATGGTGAACCAATTGATACTATATCACCAACTCTTGGCTTCAATATAAAAACTCTTGAACATAAAGGGTACAAACTCAATATTTGGGATGTTGGTGGCCAGAAATCATTAAGGTAATTATTTATAGTAAATTTTTTTTTTATTCTTTAAACTAACTTCATAATAATTTTGTATCCATATATAAAACTCTAGATGTATTTACTTCCTCTACTGCAAATTTCTTGTTTAATTATACTTAAATTCTGTATGTTTCCATATATCTTTAGGTATAATAAAATATTGCCTTCATTCATATTCTCTTAAAAAATAGGGAGCACAGACCACAATATGATTATATGGCTTTTCAGCAGCAAAAACTATATTATAGAAATTCAAAGAACCACATATTGCTTAAAGCAATATCATGTTCCAAAAATACTGGAGTAGGTTTACTAAAATGTCTATATTTCAGATCATACTGGAAGAATTACTTTGAGAGCACAGATGGTGTGGCATGGGTAGTGGATAGTGCTGATGCACGGAGACTTGCGGACTGCGCAAGAGAACTGCATTCATTGTTGAGAGAGGAGAGGTTAGCAGGCGCCACACTATTGGTGCTTGCTAACAAAGCTGATCTACCCGGTGCATTGACTTTGCAGGAGATACGAGAAGTATGTTGGTTCCCACAATATTCTTGTTTTAATTTATTGTATTACTAAAAAGAATGAATATGGAAAGTTTTTGATTGCTTGGCCCAAAAAAACATTCATTAATTTTGTAACAAAAATAAAAGATATTAATTCTTAAGATTCTCAAGGCTAACATATTCTGTGCAGACTCACTTTGTCATTCTCTTTAGTATGTTAAAATCATAGTGGCGTTGAATGTGTTAAGTGACAAAGAATTTCAGATACAATACTTTTGTGTTAACAAACCATTTCATATCTTTATTACTTTCTATTTGTGTTATTATTATTTACAGGCATTAGACTTGGACAGCATCAAGACTCATCACTGGCGCATAGTTCGCTGCTCCGCTGTCACTGGGGAGAATCTTCTCGATGGAATGGACTGGATGCTTGATGATATTGCTTCCAGAATATTTACATTAGACTAGTTAGTCTACTTTTTACTCGACTGACTGAGAAGTTCTTGGCACACATGTATGAGAGTTTGTATGTAAGAATTGAACCCATTTTGATGATTTTGAGTCGTCATTTGGTTTTTAATCTTTTCCAGAGTGTTAATGGCAGTTTTGTTTGTCAGTCGGGTTATCTAGCTTTTTTATATTTAAATTAATATACATCTTCAATATAACTTTTACATAAGGCTACTTGTATAGCCTTTATTTACAATCTGTGACAAAAGTATGCTTGATAATATTTATGCACAGTTTATGCTTAAATTTATCAATTTTAATTAACTAATCCGCACTTGGCCTGTGTGATTGACTATGGCCTAGTCACCCATAACTTAGGGTAGGATCCAAACCCCTCAGTGGGGATGTATAGTGAGCTGATGAATTAATCCATTTTATGTTTACCATGATAGTAATCTGCATTTTCCAGAGATATTTTAAAGTTCCTGTTCCGATGGGGTTGGGAAATACAAACAAAATAAAAAAGTGTATGTTTTTATTCACTCATATGTCTATTATAAATTATAGCAACATCTCAACACTGCAAAATGGATCTGTGATTTGTAAATGTGTATTTATTTCCGCTTTAATAAACTTTTTAATACAAAAAGTTCTATAATTTTATAAGTTGTATTATTATTTTAACCGGAGCTTTTTAATTGTGGCAAAACACTTGATAGATTTATACTATATGCTTTGCCATATAAAAAATGTGTTAAAACATTCTGCGCAGTCGACTTACCTGGCGAGTACGATTGATCTCTATTCCAGTACTGTCAAGTCAGAGTCCAGTAAATATATGCGGCATATAAGATGTTATTGAAAATCTGACAATTAATAAAAAATTATATCATTTACGGAGTAAAATATTGCTTATACCTTTATTAGAAAACTTACTTGCCATCTTGATTCACCATTTTGTATGTCAACTATTTAACTACCATGCGCTATTGGGAATGTTCTGTATCTATAGGTTCTTGTTCTGTAACTTGGACTACGGTTTCTTGAGTCTCTATATTTGTACTTTCTTCTGTCTGTGCAACTTCGTTCTCAATTTCATTTATTTCAGTGTTTACTTCTTGCTGTTCTGTACTTGTGTCCATTTTTTCATCGTTTTCCTTAACTGCAAATATTGATAAAAGTTACAAATTAATTATACACTATTTAAGCATCAAGAAAGTATTATCTCAAATTGGACTTGTATAAAACTTTGACCATAAATAAAATTTAACTAAGAACAATGACGAAAGTTTGGATGCATGGATATTTGTTACTGCGGAACTTTTAAACCAATCTAGATTAAATTTGGAACAGAAATTACACTGTGTAATACATAGATAACTAAATATTTTTCCATTTTATAGACATGAAATTACAATAGGATTTATAAAAAAAAAGTTAGTAGCCTAGGTGTTCCTTCAGACTTTATCAGGATCTGTTTAGCCATTTTGTGAATACCTTCTAACAAACATCCATCAAAACATTTGGATTTATAAATTTAGTAAGAACATTAACTATACAATTCAATTTAGGTGCAAAAAACGTACCAATATCTTCCTCAGCTTTATCCTTTTTAACTTCTTCAGTTCTCTCATCTACATCACTTTCTTCTTTTTCTTTCTCATCCACATCCATTGCAAATTTGTTTCTCTTTCTTCCGTTATCATCTTCATTCTTCACAGTCACTATTTTGTCATTATCTTCTCTGTCCTTCTTGTCTTGAGCTGACGGATTGTTCTCTTTGGTTCCTGGACCACGACGTAAACATCTATGCTCTATTCGTTGCAATTCTTCTTGAAGTTCTTGTCGTTTCTTGATCATACATTCTATGGGAAAAATGAAACTGGTTATGTTGTAGTTTACTTTACGATATAACTTAAGTATTTAAATTATCAAGGAGCTTCCTAAAGGTCATTGGTCATTTTTATCCAGAGTTTATTTTGACTAACAGATTTATATTCACTTTAGATTGCCTACTTATAGAATAAGTAACTTAAAGAACTTACTTCTGTATATAGGACCATACTTTGCTGTAAATTTAAAAACTATTACTACAAACTACATTTTAATACTATCATCTAAGTTACGTAATAAGTAATGTAAGCAGGATAAATAATACTTACCTTGTAGATCTAGGATAAAGTACATAAATATTTTGTGGACTAGTGTTAGTGCCTTTAATGAAATCTAATACTAAAGTAATGCTTTTTAGTCTAAATAAGCTCTGGTGAAATAGGAATATGCAGATAACATTAAAAATATAAGAAAAAATAACTTACTTTCATGGTACTTTCTACTAGAATTCAACTTTTCCGTAGCCTTTTCCGTCATCTTCTTGGGCAACCAATAAATGTGTGGACGTGTTTTAGTAAGAATAAAGTTTGCAAGATCCTTTTGTGATTTCTCCCATTTTTCAAACTCTTCAACTCTTGCCATCTTCACCTCTAAGGCTTTGATTGTAGCTTTCTTGTTTTCCCTTTCAGCGAATAACGTCTTTCTCTCTTTCTGTTCTTTTTCCTTTTGTAATCTCGCCTGTTCTTCTATTTTACGTTCTACTTGTGCTTTCTTTTCCTCCTGTTAATAAAACTTTTATTAAAAGTTGTTTGTATAGTATTAACAAATTGAAATTACATAGCAATGCTGTTATTTTTTAATTAGATGTTTTAAAGCTACAACAATGAAATGCACATTCTGGTCACAGTAAATGGCCTTTCTCTATAAATATTTTGACCTGATTGTTTTATGTGAGTTATGTTTTTTTGTATGTATGTGTTTTAGCTATATATAATAGATTTATATGTAGGTTCAATTGTGACCACTTGTAACCAAGACACCACAACTAATTTTGATGAGTGAGTTGCCATTTAATTCATATCTTTCTCTTGTCATACAGATGAGTTTCAGTTTTTTAATTTTTTTTTATGATATAAAAATTATTGTTTTAATACCTTAGTCTGTAATACAATTTCCTCTTGTTTGAACTTCTGTAATGTACCAAGGAGTGATCCAAATATTCTTCTATTTCTTGTCCTCGCTTGCTCATCATCCCCCTGTGCTCGTAGCACCGCTGCTCTGGTTGGCAATTCACGGCATACTGCTGACGGTACTTTTGCTCTTTTGACACTTGGGATGTCATCATCACAGTCACTATCTTGGTCTCTTACTGACAATCTTTAATGAAAACCATGCAATGTTATAGTAAAGATAATAATATTATTTTCGGTCAGTCATAAGTAATATAAATTATTTATTAGTACCTTCCGGAGAATCGATTTGTTTGGTCTGAACTTAACCTCAAATTGATTTATTTAACTTCTAATTATTGAAATATTTTGTATGACACTGTTACATATTAATATCGAATGTAAATGGTGATTATTAACTTTCAAAATACCTGCTAAAAACCGTTTTTGTTTCAGTTTTACGTTTCCCTAATTGATCGTCTATCTTGTGATTTTTGAAATCCACGTAAGAATTCCGTCCACCAGTTTGTTGTCCACCTCTTGTATAATGCGAGGATTGATTAAACCTACGAGAAAAAGGTTATGTAAATCAAATTAAATCAATAATTACCGAAACTAATTTGTTGTTAAACTAACCTATCATTGGAAAACCGTCCGGAAGTTTGGACGATTTTCTTAATGTTTTCGTCTATTTTAAACAAACTACTTTTTTCATTTTCTAGTTGATTACGTAAAGACGTAAATGATATTGCTATTTCTGTCCCCATTATACTTAAATTAAGTTTAGTTTATCACGGAGCATTAACACAGCTAGGATTTACAACTTTTTTTATAAGTACTTTGCTTGTTAGCTGTCAGTCAACATTGCAGTTGCACAGATAATAAATTGTATTTGTATCGATTCAATTTTTTTGTTTTGATACTTCTCATAACAATATCAAATAACCACCACCAACCAGTTTAATAAATTTACTATATACGATTATTTCTTGTTAAACACGTTTAAATAACTTTTTACATTTGTAGCAATTTAAGTTCAAAATTATTTACGCTATTCACCAATAGATGGCGCTGCAAGAAATAAAAATAACGAAATAGTGAAAAAACCACACATTCTGTTATCTCCATTGGCAGCCTTTCAGGTTAATTGAAAACTCTTCCTAATCTTAAATTATGAACTACGCAAGCTTACTACATTATGAATACTTACATGGGCAGGTTTTAAATTATTATCTTAATCATGTTTAAATTATCGCTCCAAGAATCAGCCTTAGATTTCTGAGTAAATTTCTGGTTTAATTTAGAACCCACGTAGTTGTTTTTTTTCTTTAAAGCATATATAAGTTAAAATTTTAGTGGTTTTCCAATATGCTGTTCATAAGAAACGGGATTCTTACAACGATTCAGCTATTTTAGCTCCCGATATTTCAGATCTCGGGTTGAGTATACTTTAAAGCGTAATTTATCACCTTCTGTACAGAAATTATAAACATCAAAATTTATTTAAGGTATTATAAGGGATTCCATGTACTTGAAATAAACAAAAATTAATTTAAAATAAATACACGCTGAAATTTGTCTTACTCGGCAGCATATTTTATGTTAAAAGTCACACTGCAGTCCAAACCTACAATAAAGTTCGCGGATAAATTGAACCGGCTATCCTCTTTGGTAAAGCCTTCGTTTAAGAACTTCACATTTTATGAGTATGTAATCGCATAATTTCAGTTTGATTCCCCCTAAGTATCACTAATTAGTACAACTTAAAAATAGATAATAAACAAAATGAACTAATTAATTTTCGTTATAAAAATAAATCATAATTTCAACGGGCGGTATGTTCCATTAAAATAACTGTGTATAATAGCGGAGCTGTATGGTGACTATGAAAAAAGCAATTAGCTGAAATGCACGGTGTCTCCTTGTCGGTTGTCGGTAGCGGTCTCTGGCGGCTTGCGGCTAAATCCGTACCGCGCCGTTCCGCCGGCCAAGCGTTCACGCGTGCTATGAAAAATGGCTGACGTACCGCGTTCGGATACACGCATTGAGAATTCTTACAAAAATAATCACAAAATGAAATCCATAATATTGTTCCAATATTTGTTTTTAAGATATTTATTAGAGACATACGAATTTAATAATATAAATTTGAAATGGTTATCCGTATATTATAACCTAGATACATGACTTCGAGACTTAAAAAAAACACAAATACACTAAATTTGTGGTTATGGGTTAATTTTAAATATTAAAACTATATTTGAAGAATAGCTCATTTTAAATGCATTAGGATTCTTGTTAATAAATAAATCATGTTTATTCAAATAAATAATTAGATGTAACAATTGCATTTTATCGGCGACTGTCCGCTGTCACGTCACTGTTTGTATTCCGTCAGACATTTTTGTCTGTGGCGCGGTCACGCTTCCTTACCGTAATGGATGTCCGCGGCATCGACTTTGCTTCACAATTGTTTCCTCCGGAACTCTAAAGCACAAATTACATCTATTAATTTAATGGAAACAAATTTAGATATAAATTAAAATACTTCTCTTAATGTTAATTATAAACTATAATATTAACCTTAGTTTTTTAAGCGTGTTTTTTTTGTAGATCGTAAATGAAAATGCACCTGTTTTATATTTACCACCTATAACCTATATGAGTGTAGAGCTTCCCGGTAAGAATTAAATGCCTTAACCGACTAATTATAGCTACCTTGAAAAAACTATTATAATAATCTCTCTCTAATCTTAGTTCTTATCCACGTCAATCAGAAAACTAGAATTAAAAAAGAAAAAACATTTATTGACCCACGAATCATACGTAAAAAAACCATAAATCACATACAAGGCACAAACATAATATGGATGCCAATTAAGAAAGTACTAATTGATAATTTTCTTATGCTCATTTAATTTTATCTATTTTTTTCTCAAATAAGTCTACGCCGTAAAGTCAAATGTTGGGTTTTTGTATTCTGTGAGTGTTAATCTTATATATAAAATTCTCGTGTCACAATTTTCGTTCCCATACTCCTCCGAAACGGCTTGACCGATTCTCATGAAATTTTTGAGCATATTGAGTAGGTCTGAGTATTTTTATTCCCGCGCGGTCGGAGTCGCGGGCGACAGCTAGTGTATTTTTGAAAGTTTATAATTTCAAAGCTATTGCTTTATGTATTATAAAATCGAAAGATCTTTAAACCATTAAAAACACAGTCTCTATGCTAGCACAGGCTCTAATTATTTTAGAGACAAGAGCAAAAGTTTTTAAGTCTAGCACGGTTTTTAAATGAGTAACCTTTATTTTTAATATTTTTATAGGTATGCAGTATTTAATAAAATAAAGATTTAAGGCACAATAATTTAAAGAACACCCCGTGACAAATATAGCGGCCATTTTGTTTGTTTGTTGCGCGCGCATGTCAGTTGGCGCGATGTATTTGGCGGAACAGAGCTTGCGCGCTATCCCCTCTAATAAAACGCTTATACTGATTAATTGCTCGAGCCCATACAAATAACTCTTACCGTTTCTGTATAAGGCAGGGTTTACGAAGTCTACTTGATAGGCATAAAATAATTAAATGATTTTCTAAACCTATTCAACCCAATATAAGTGAAAACCTACAGCCAAAACCGACTTCTCATTTCGAGAGCATTAAAGTAAGATACCGTATAAATTGACTCGTAAAAGAAAGTGTGGGAACCTCCTTGGTGGCTCAAAATTGTTTCCAGCCATGGTTTTCAGAAGAAAGTTATGATATTTGTACTCTAGAAAGACCCTTTGTTGTGATATTTCAAGGGCTTTGTTTCAAACACTGCGTCGATTTTTTATATAGTTTAGTCAGCGGACTCTACATTCACCAAAAAAATCCTAAAATAGCAAAGAATTACATGAAATAATCAATTTTGAATGATGAAATTAAATCAAAATATTTCACAGCCCTAATTATCTTCGTGTCATTAACACTAAGATGGTGGAAATTTAAAAATAAAACAACTGTCAGTCACGTATACGCTATAAAATTATATTCTTTTTAAAAATAAGTTGACGATATTAAGCGTAACCGAACGCGTTTCTCAACTCTACCTTATCGAATCGATGTTTAGGAAAAACTAAAATAATTTCAGATAAACCACGCGATTAAAATGAAACGATAAAAGCAAATTGCGCTGAAATGTTGCGTAAATAAAATCTCTATGCATTTGGTTAAAATCCCACTTATTTAATTAGCAAATTGTCCCAATGATCTTGTGAATTGTCTTATAACTCTTATGATTATTTATTGAGCTATTCAGATTTAAGTATACAGTGAACATGTAGTAAGGACTTAGGTTTTGTCCCCTTTCTTTACATCCCATCTCCTGTCAAACCCATCTTATCTACATTCATTATACGAAAAGAAGGGAAAGAGTGCTGGAGGCCACTCATCAGACGAAACGCGGAAAAACTGCAAATGATTAACATATCTTCGAACTACTTTATTTGTAGTTAATGCATTTCGTCCAGTCATTACTCGTATAATGACATACTAAGCCCAACACTACACGATTTTATGTCTGTGATCAAATGTATACGAAGCGTGATAGCAAAACATTCGTCTTGGTCGTCAGTACCAGTGTTCAATTAGGGTGCAAAATAGCAGCACATGCCGTGGATCGCCTCAGGCCATTGCGAGCAGACACACCTTGTTACCATCACATGTAGCGTACCTGACGCTGCCCTGCGCCATTTGCCCGCCAACGAGGCCGCCATCTTGTAACATCAAAGCAAGATGGTTATCGCCAGTTATACAGACGTCAATTGCGCTAGAAGCTTTTGTTTAACTTTTTTTTTTAAATAATTCAGATTTAGTCAAAGACCTTTTTTCCGGGTTTACGAGGATTTTTGATAAGATTATACCTTGCTACAAGTGTACGGTAAATGTCGATGTGAATATATGTAGTTTAAAATACATAAAACAGATTATAAATTAAATATTTTTTTTGTAAACTTCGCCGTTATCGAAATCAATACGGTGGATAATCTTTGGCTGAGAAAAGAGATGGCCGTGAATCGAGAAGGTATTTAGGACCTAATCGGACCTAAATATATTTAGGTTCTAATATAGGTATAAGCTTGAAAATACCTTTATTACCACACACGTATTTTGAGGCTTCATAAATCATGTGTTAAATTAAAGGTGGTTAAACACTGCTCCGTAACAAACGTTCGTTCATTGATCTTCAAAATAAGAAACAAAGGTATTATCGGTCACCAGTTCCAAGTACTTTTGTGCAGATGAAAGGAGAGTTTCTGCGAAGAATCGCTCGAGTTGGTGCGGTTGTGCACGACCACGCGTCGCTGGAGCGTTCACCCTAGTGTACTCGCAGCTTTATAGTACTAGCAGAGTACTGATTTTGATAGACATTTGAGGATCTGACAAGATTCATGTTATGGAGAAATTGCAATTTTGAATTTGGAATTTTTGTTCAAATAATTAAAATTAACGCTTTTCTATTTGGCTTACGTCTACCTAAGTTGTTACTTTAGTTTGAAACTCACATTTTGTACGGAATATTATGTGGTAGATAACATCAATGTGGGATTAATTTCTTTCCAATTACATAAAGATAGCTTTTGCCCTTTTTGGTGCTTAGGCTAGGATAGGCATTTTTTAAATATTTTTAACATTATATTTTTTTTTCAATTAATATATTAGCAAATTTTTTTGTAAATTTACTAATATTTCTTTTACCATTCCAACTAAGCTCTAGGCTTGTGCTAGGATATGGTTTACGACAATAGTCGAATGGTGGGATTCGAACCCCCGACCTCGTGAT